CATTTCGAACAATATGGTCACACATATACTTGTTAGGGCATTCTTAATTGAAACTTAATAAAGGTCAATTAAATGAAAGTCCAAGTAAAATAACAAAGGGGAGAGAAAGAATAAGAACTTATTGCGTTATCCTGGGCCATAGAATGATTTAAGGATTACTAAGGTAAACTCAAGGTTACAACAAATTGTTTTTGTACATATAAGGAAGGTTTAAATTTACGAATAGCCAAGGCTTCAATAAACTTAAGAATTCGTCCTCGACAATTTCTATACAACGTTCTAAAAGCTGTATTAATGTCAATTTTGTGCCCCGTTTCAATTACATGTTTCGCTATCGATGAACCTGGTTTTCCACCTCCCACATTGATCGAATCATTTGACACACATTGATTTTGAAACCATCTAGGCACATGTTCATTGACCCTTGATTGCATTGTTCGATTACTCCTCCCTATGTGTGTCCACACAAACACGTAAATACGATGCGATGTGATGTAATCATGGGCTGACTTTTCAATCACAACATACTGAGCAGCATATTAGGCATTCTCGATGGCTGCTTTCAATCTCTGTCTTAAAACTATGCTGTTGGATTCGCCTCTATATGGTAGATTGATATAAACTTTTTTCTTTGGAACTAAATAAACAAGAGGTCTTGGCCTTAACTGACTTTTGCACCTATTAAGAAACTTTAGTGGACAACCATTTGCTACTGTGTCAGTCCGTAACTTTTCATCTTTTTCCACCGTGTCAGAAGTACAAATTCATTGAGTCCTCTTAAAGAGAAGCTTACCCAGGCCTCGCTTGTATTGCAATAGACAAAAACTATGGAAATTTAAGTATTGTCCCGACCAGGTTGGTTTCCTATACACAGACCGTCTAATAGTGTCATCATCCCTTTGACTTAAAAGTATGTCTAAAAAGGCCAATTGGCCATTACTTTCTGATTCATATGTCATCACAATATCGTCTTGAACAACACTGAGTTTATCCAATAATAGGTAAACATCAAAATCACATATAATTAGAATATCGTCCATGTATCTTCTATATAGAGTTGCCTCACTAATAAGCTCGCACGTCATATTTTCCACATATGACACTATACTTCAAATGTTCATTTGTACAGAAAAACACATGTATTTATAGACGTTAACATTTGTTAAATCAACATCATATTTTGGCCAATCCGCTGAGACATATTATGCTACTGACCAATACTAGCACGCCACGCTGATATTCTAGAAGCCCCATCATGCTCTGAATAGCTAGGACTCTTCGGCTCCTTTAGCGCCTTGTCTAAAACCCTAGAGTCTCTTATCATTGACGTGTGCTGTGTCTCTGAAACACGCATACACGATCCCAATGTGGTCTTTCACTTGACCTCACCTCGGCAAAACGGAGAGTCAACGAGATACACCCTCCGTGTATCTGGTGACCCGACGACCAGCTCTCGTGGATTGGCAGGAGTAGGCATAGCACTAAGCATGAGGGCGGAACAAGCACTGTCAAAGTGGATCCCCGTTAACAATCGTTTATGTGCTGTTCGGCTAAACGGCTACGTAAGAACTCGGAAGGATAGGGACACACGTCGTTGTCGTTTTGTCGTTTCTGCCTACGTTCCCACCGACTGCAGCTCAGATGAAGTGAGAGATGAATTTTACAGAAAGCTATCTGAACTTCTTCAGAAAGCTAATCGTTCAGACACAGTACTCGTAGCAGGTGACTTTAATGCCCATGAAGGTAGTTTAAACCAAACAGAAAGACATTTAGGTGGGTATTTTAGTATACCGGCACAACGAACAGATAAGGGTGACCGTCTGATGCAACTGTGCTCAGACAATCGTTTGTTTTTAGCAAACAAAAATTTTAAGCATAAGGAGAGACATCGTCTAACATGGCGACCCCTTACACCAAACCAACGATGGACTCAAATAGACTATATTGCCACCAGTCATCGTTGGAAAGGGTCGGTAGAAGATTGTCGCTCATTCCGGAGTACCTGCTTGGACTCCGACCATGCCCTAATACGGGCACGCATCTGCTTGCGCCTCACTGGACGCAAAAAACCACATTAAAAAGACCCGTTAGAACTGAATTGAGTAGCGAGAAAACCAAAAGTAGGTTCCAGGAACAACTGAGGTCACACTTAGGTAGATGTTGCTTGGAAAGCTATACAAACAGCTGTGGAAACAGCAGTGACATCTATTAGTGACTTAAACCACAGAGTTGCAAGGAACCAGTGGATTTCTTCAAGGTCTATCACACTGATGGATTCTCGCAAACTCGTCCCATCAGGCTCTGAACACGATGAAGAGCGACAACAAATCAGATCTAGGTTAAGAAAAGTCTAAGAAACGACCGTGAGCAGTGGTGGGCAACGAAAGCAAAAGAGATGGAAAAGGCGGCGGCTATAAGGAAAACAAGACAGCTCTACAGACTAATAAAAGAAACTGGAATTAATAAGTCAAGTGTAAGTCAGACTATTTCGGAGAAAGACGACACCCTCATCTGCTCTCAGTCCAGACGTTTAGAACGATGGGCGGAACATTTTAGGGAACAGTTCAGCTGGCCTCCAGCTACTCTACAACTACCCTCCATTCCCAGACAAAGTGAATGGAAAATTGAAGTAGGTCCCCCAACTCTAGCAGTTCAAAAGGCTATAGTTAATCTGAAACGAGGAAGGGCAGCTAGTCCAGATGGATTGGCTCCAGAGGTCTTTAAGGATGGTGGTCCAATTTTAGCGATTAGGTTGACTAATATTTTAGCTAAGATCTGGGAGTTAGACGTTATTCCATCTGACTGGTCACAATCACTTATCGTCCCAATATATAAGAGAGGGATAAAATCATCCTGTGATAACCGCAGAGGGATTAGTTTAACTAATATAATATCTAAAATACTAGCCTCGATAATTATCAGACGCCTAACTAAGACTCATGAACTGCAGACACGAGAGAATCAAGCTGGCTTCAGACCTGGTCGTGGCTGCATCGACCACATATTCACCATTCGTCAGGTTCTAGAACATAGGCATACTTATCGGCGTCCGACAATGGTGGTCTTTCTTGACTTAAGAGCAGCATTTGACTCGGTAGACCGCGAGATTCTGTGGCAGTGTCTGTCATTAAAAGGCGTACTTCAGAAGTACATAAACCTTATGAGGGCTCTTTACTTGAACACTATCAGTCGAGTCAGAGCTTATGGCGAACTGACATCTGCTTTTGCAACCTCAAGTGGTGTCCGTCAGGGCTGTCCACTTTCTCCATTTTTGTTTAACTTCATCATAGACTTATTGATGGAAATAACATTCTCGTTTACTGAATTCTCGGGTATTGATCTCCTTCCAGGAGGTCCACTTATCGACTTAGAATACGCAGATGATATAGTCCTGTTTGGTGAAGACGCTGATAAAATGCAGAGTCTTTCGGTAGCACTAAGCAACAATGCCAGAATGTTTGGGATGCGCTTCTCTCCCTCTAAATGCAAGTTATTGCTTCAGGACTGGTCTGCGTTAACACCTGAACTAAAGATAGGGAGTGAAATAGTCGAACGCGTTGACAACTTCACTTATCTTGGATGTCTGATCAGCCCTAATGGGTTGGTGTCTGACGAAATCTCAGCACGGATTCGAAAAGCTCGTTTGCCTTTTGCCAACATACGTCACCTTTGGCGGAGGCGAGATATCCGTCTATCAATAAAAGGACGAGTATACTGCGCGGCAGTCCGTTCTGTCTTACTTTACCGCAGCGAAACATGGCCATTAAGAGTAGAAGACACTCGTAAGCTACTAGTATTTGACCACAGATGCCTTAGAAATATTGCTGGCATCACCGGTTAAGTTATAGTGAGGTTAGACGCAGGGTATTAGGGTAGATGCAGACTACTTGGTTGGGGTCCGCGTGACAATCGTAACCAATGGTTGGAGACTCTTGGTGACATGGCTCAGAATCGATCACAATGGCGTCGGTGTATACACTCCCTGTCTTCCCTTAAACTAAGAGATTAAAATCACTTCATATCTTTTTTTCTACGAACTAATTCTTTCTTCCTATACTATATCCTTATTGCAATCTTTCTCCTATATATTACCACCTTTGACCTAACCACTCCTATGAATCCGCTGTTCATCTTGCTGTGCTAATGAGGTATGGCAACCTGGACCGATGCGTATATGTGCCTGGTCCTACGTTGTAGCTGACTGACTGGAAGCTGCGTTGCAGTTCTCGGAAAGCCGACTCAACAGAAGGAAGTACGTACTCGTGGTGTAGATCTACATTTTGAAGAAAGATTTTTCGAGTGTAAGAATGCCAATATGGTACACTAGCTACTTAATTTCAATTGTTTTACCAAATGAACTTTATTTCCTATTATATACTACACCTTTTTATTTATTCATTAGATTTTACTTCTTTATCCTCGTTTATTTCTTTACAGTATTATCTCTTTAGTTGTGCGATGTAGATTTCTTTGGTTCCCAGTTGTACCTGAATTAATGTTTAACAGGCAGTTGTAAAAACAATCCTAAACCAACGAGCAATTGATAAACTTTTTTCCAGACCTTACTTTTAGCTTAAGTGTCAGTTAACCTGACTATAAATACGTAAAACCGGAAACTAAGAGATTTCTGATTAGTTTGAATGATAAATACGAACTTTGGTATCCGTGTGGTAAATTTTTTGCACTGTTGTAATGACATTAAAATATATACCGAAGCATAAAGAGCGTTACTTAACATTTATAAATGGATAATTGCATACATCTAGTTGAATGAAGTAAAAAAAATATACGAGATTTTCGACACAATATCTAGACTAGACACTTATTTAGAAAGATCCCATTCTGCATGGCTAAAACGAATAATAAACATATTTAAAATGCATCTTACTTCTAGTCAACAGTGCAACTCCTTTCACCAACGATAATGACTACAGCTATACTCCGTAGATTTCAAAATCTAGAAAATTACCCTCAATTAATATTAAATATGAATAATAAGTGTGACTCGCAGCATGAAAATTCTATACAATTGTAAACTTTATATGAGAGAAGACATAATGTTAACATATGACAGAGAAAACTAGTGACATATTTCTTCAAGTACAGTGTATGAAATTTAGAGTCATCTTCTAAAGTGATCTCATAAGTTTTGTAAAGACAATACCAAATTAAATTAATGAGTTGCATTACAGATGTATTAGTAAATCTAAATCATCATTATTACACGTTCCCATATAATTTTGGAATCCTGACCGAAAGTATCTTGAATCCAGTCCGGACTACTCTCTGGGCCTATGACCACACGACCCACATTATGAAAATCTGACGTATCAGATAATTTTTGTACCATTTTTCCAGAGATATCCTTTATTCTTGATGCGTCAACAGAGAAAACCTGGTTTCTGTGTGACTGTCTCAAATCATCACTGATCCCATTCAAAAAATGGGTTAGACCGCGGGAACCCGCTGAAACAGGATAGTCCAACTAAAAACAAAAAATCAATCGGAATAAAAATATAAACGAAAGAAAATTATAATTTACTAGTATTAACTCAATAGGATAGAATAAAACTTCAACATAATAGTAATAATAAAAACAATCATGAGGATTTACTAAGATTAATGCTTCAAGAAATGATAATAGTTCAAATCTCGATCAGATTTTGATCGACAGTCTTAAAACTTGTTGACAAATCATACGTCAACTTGGTAGGGAGAACATGACTGATTGGGCAGATTACCGTAAACACCCAAGAGGCCCTAAGAATTAACCTTGTACATATTCACTGTACTAGATTTATTGCATGTTAACAATACACCTTTTACAGAAGCTCTGCATGCCCAAATTTTTGTGATTTGATTGAAGAAATGTTAGAACATTCCCTATTTTCGGATAAGCCATTCTGGTATTTCATTACACGTAGATTAACTTCTCCACGACTAACTAGATGCATGAACTTTCGAACTATTACCAAGACTGTTTTCATGTTGCTATTCGCAGGAGAACTAAATCCCAGACCACAATTTGTCCAAGGAATAGAAGACGAACTTTATTTCAAGGAGTACAAGAGTTTGTTGACCTAGATAATAAATCTGCTGGTGTTTAAGAATAAATGATCAAACACCAGACTGCTTTTCACGAGTTTTTCATAATCTGTGGACTATGAAAAAGGCCCACATTTGGGGTAGGATTAGAAGCAAAATAAAACAGGTTTCGTGTAGTCGAATATGATGATGGCTTCATTTTAGGGCAATCGAGCGCTTCTGTACGTCAAATCTGAAACAATGCAAGGTGTTTCCTGACTAAGAATTCACATCAGACATTGATAAATTTCAAGGGTAAGCAGCCTAGAATTGGCGATATTCAACTCTTCAGAAGTTGTAGTTTCTTACCAATCTTCATTTCATTTCGTGGATATAAATCTACCGGTAAAAGGGATAAGGAGGTTTTGATCAATGTTACTGAGGAAACAGATCGATTGAACCATTATCTAGTTCTCTCCAGAAGCCTATATATTTGCTGGACACCTTTTAACCAATCATTACCTACAGTAACTACTAAAAATCCTCAAATTGGCATCCATATGAATTTTTATAATATTTGGATGGACTAACAATTGAGTATTTATTCTATTTTAGTAGTAACGACATATATGAACTTTAGAATACAGCCTCATTTACAGTACTTCTTTTTTACTTGTTCAAATCTTAAATGAATAAGTATGCTAAAAGTTCAGAAGTTAAAGAAGTCCAATGCTTGATTAAAACCCAATCCTGAATGTGCAAAGCATGAAAGTTATGCAAAATATGATAACTGCCAACAATCTTACTTACTTCTTGGAAAACAGAAAGTTTAGCTTCTTTAATATCTTGATCTTGAAATTCTCTGGAGCTGGCCCATTTTATAGCATTTTCAAAACTACTTAGCGTTTTGAGAGGATAAGGATCACTTAACAAAATACAGTACACAAATTGATTTCTTAATAAGAACAATTACAAAATACATTTACCGTGAATAAAACTTAAAATACAAGTTAATTAAGACATTATATATAAGTATGGTAACCAAATCAAGCTAACAGTAGTACTTCTAAGGAATGAGTAACCACGAAATAAAAAAAACGTGACTATAGTCAGAAAAATGAAGTCTCATGCTAGCTCGCATAATAGATGCGTGAAGAAAAAAAGTTCTGCTTAAAGCGCCCGTCTGTTTGTCATCATGTTTTAACTAACATAAACTTACACACTAACATAGTAAATAAATTTGATGGGACCATAATTTATGAATGACCTTTGAGCAACGCTAAAATGACTTTGAAAATGTCCACCTACTGACTAGGACTAAATGACGGTTATAAAGTAGTTTGAGGAATTAGAATTACGATTTGCAGTTTATGTTTAGGGTTAGGAATTAGATTAAGGGTTTTCATCAGGAACTGACATCAGACATAACGCCGAAATAGTATTCAGTCAAATAAGTGGATGAATTTCGCGCTAAAATCCGAGACCTGTTATTTTAAATCTAATTGGTTCGTCAATAAAATATAGTCTCGTCAACAAAACCGTTGGTATTGAGAACAATTGAATTCATGTATCTGTGCCATATAAAGAGAAGTTAGTTTATCCTACCAGGATATCTTATTCTCATAACGAAATTCCTAAACAGATGTTTCATTGAACGGATCTATCAAATTTAACCAGAATGATTTTCCGACAACTTTTTTGTCGATTCACCGAGAATTCCTGAAATCAACTGCTTCGAGTCCATCAGTGAGAAAATCCAAATCCCTTCGTATTTTGGATTAATGAAACCGCAAAAAACTCCAAAGCAGTTCAGCAATTTACATAAAATGGGAAGAATAAAAATATTTAATGACCAACGAAATGCAGCTTACCGATAGGAGTAAAACAAGAAAGCTTCCGGTTTGGCAATAGCTCCCCCACCATAAGCACCACCTTTTTCCCTATAAAATTTAGTAAAAATTCAATCAATGGAAAAGGAAGAAAATAAACCGAAACATCTAAAATAAACTAGTTGGCATTACCATTACAATAAACAAAGGAAAATGATCTCAATTCGAAAGAATTGTCATATCACTTGATAACAAAAAGCTTTTCATGGGAAACTGCACAATTCGGAAAGAAAACCGCAAGAAATAAATTGGATTAGTAACCCAACGGTGCGACAGATAATTCACAGCAAAATTGGTAGTATAAAGTAAAAGCACACATCCATTCGGTGTCAGTGGATTACAGGTATGATCTGTTGGAACTAGGTCTGTAACTATAGAACCATCGTGGTGGGCAAAAATCGCTACCGTGACGACCCATTTGAGGTTGGAGCACTTGATCTATTAGGTTTTACTATCTCTAATCAGGTAAGTCGATTGGGTAGAGGCAAGACTAAGAGTAGGTACTGGATCAAAGAACAAAGTCGTACTGCTAACTGTATAGAGATGCGGAAACAATAAGCTGTTTTCTTCAGATAACCAGCACTTGCAACGACGCCGCCTTTTCACAACGGAAGGAGAGAGTTGGAAAATGGTCAGTACCACAAAATAGCTAACTTGACACTTCTCTCCAAAGATTTAACACCGACTGATTCTGACAACCCTCAATATCAACTTTTTCGTTTCCTAACACACATTCTATTCTTCCTACAAACCTTCTTTTTTACCTCAAGCTAAAAATTGAAGTGTTATCTCTGGTCTACTGAGATTGCGCTGCAAAATTCATGTTCGAGCTTTTAATGTTCAAACCTTATATCAATCCATACAATAGAGTTTATTAAGTAGGAATTCAGAACCTCATGTCACTGACATAAGCCGTGCCTCCGAAACTCATATGCAAGACCCAAGTGTAATAATTCACTTAATCGTACCTATTCCATATAGAGGACTAGGATGGTTTATGCTTAGTATTTTGGCCGACATGATGAATAATTACGTGGAGTCGCTGGCGTAGGCGAAGTTTACTTTGGTAAACAGTTACTTGTATAGTGTTCGACTAAACAGAACAGTAATAACTCGAAAGGATAAGGACGCACGCTCAGTTAGTCAGTCAGCTACAACGTAGGACCAGGCACATATATGCATCGGTCCAAGTTGCCATACCGCATTAGCACAGCAAGATGAACACCGGATTCATAGAAGTAGTTAATTCAATGGTGGTAATATATAAAACAAAAATTGCATATAAGGATATAGTACAGGAAGAAAGAATTAGTACGTAGAAAGATATGAAGCGATTTTATTCTCATAGTTTAAGGGAAGACAGAGAGTGTATACACCCACGCCATCGTGATCGGTTCTGAGCCACGCACGCTATTACATATTCACAGTCTGCTTCATATTCCACTAACTTCAAGTCAGATGAAAAGAAGCTACTCGATATATAAAAGAATTAAGTGTCTAGATGTAGAAATCGTGGCAGTTAATTTTGATCCGTAAGTAGATAGGCTAAACTAACCTTAAAAGCAATTAATTGAATCAGTCAGAGTCCCAGTTCAAAATTAATCATAAACCGACAAAAACCCTACTAACGGTCATGAGCGGTGGTAAGAGATGAAAGCGAAAAATACGGGAAAGTTAGTGGTGATCAGTAACAAACAAGGTAACTGTTAAGAATATGATGGGACCACTAAATGTTCTTAACTCAAGGGACTAGAGGGATGGGTGAAATCGTAGGATACACTGGGTTCCCAAGTCAATCAAAAAACCACCTTTACTGAAATCTGTTTCTCTCAAAACTTCAATTTAGCGTTTATCACGCCAAAGTTTCCTACGTTCATTTCTCACTATTCTCGGTGCAATATTTTGAGTAACAATACATGTTTGGAACGCGTTTTACTCCCTCTAAATGCAATATTAGCTTCAGAACTTATCTCTATCGGCTAGGTCGATCATAGGAAGCGCAGATAACTACATCAACCGCTTTACTCATCTTGGAAGTTTCATCATCGGTACGCATTCAAAAAACTCAGTTTGTGTGAGCGACATGCCCGTCTTCCAACAAAAGGGTGAGTAAACTGGGCAACAGTTTGTTTTGCATTGCTCTGTTCCCATGATACTGTCTACAAAACTAGAAGGCATAGGTAGGCTACTTATTTTTAATATGAGTTTCTTCGAAACATTGTTTGCGTTTCGTGTAATGATCGAGTGATCAATGAGATTAGGCATAGAGTACGTGGCAAAGATAGCATATCAGTTGTTGTGGTTAACTTAGTCGACTGAGGGAGTTAGGACATTTGTCACGTATACACAAGCAATGCGTACTTCGACGGACAATATTTGCCAGTGCATAAACAGGTTGGGAGAACGTTAAGATCAACCAAACCAAAATACGGTTCCAGTCTATGAAGTTACTCACAGTTGGTGTGAGCGATGTTGGTAGATGATGACTACCACCCAACTGACGTCCTTGCGATAAACATAATGAGTGGAAGGAAACGTTTATAGATGTCTCAGAGTCGGACTCTAGATTTTGCGTTTCAGTGCTTCTTCACATACCCCTTTTAATTCCATTTTCTCGAATCACATTCTTTATATGCGTAGCATTTACTATTCATTACCGATGATACTATACTACTAGTTTGACATTCATACTCACAATTTCATGTTGTTATGCTGATGAACATTTGCTTGTAACTGAATGACTGATTCTGCTGAAAAATTCATTAGTCTTAGTTTATACAACAGAAACAATTACGTAACAAGAAAGTAGGGATGAAGTAAATACTTTTATGATGGAGTTTTGTTCTTGACTTCTACCTGAAGTTTGCTCTGATGATGAACGATGAAAGCTTCACGACTAAACCATTCAGCTCAGAGAAAAAAACTCCATCAAAATCATCCATCTGAGCTACAAATCTCCACCATCTCAAAATGAAGTAAAAACACAAATATGTGAGATGAAACATAGAGAATGCATATATTGTTTTAATTGATCGTAATCAGGCGCTTGGCTATACTAAGTCTGGTAAGATGAAAGATTTCAATTTGATCTTAAAGTGAATATATTCCTGAGCCAATCTCCTAATTATGAAGTACGTATACATGCGAATCAATTCGAATAAGAAAATTTGGGAGATATATAAAAACGTCTAAAACTGCGTCCATATTTCTAAACTCTAGTGATACATTACAGCCTCCAAAAGAACACAAATACTTCGTAAAAATGAGAAAGTATGTGCTTTAAAATAACCGACAGTACACAAAACTCACCTTATTTCACGATGTAGGTACTTAAACGACAGTAAATGAGCCAAGACACGATAACTACAGAAACAGAGGGAAAAGAACTGTGAGATTAGGTGACTACTGAATTTTGGTATACACATTTAAAGAAATAAAAATCGACTTAAAACTGCTCGTTTTTTCCTACCTTGCATAATCTTCAGAGTCATAACTTGGAGCTTCAATAGCCTTAGCAACATAGTGCACTGTATACGGCATTGCAAAAAATGTATTCCGAGAAATATTTGGAAAAAAATCTGGATTTTGAGAGTCTTCAATCAATAAACTGGTCGACACTTTTGGTGATTGTGATAAATCATTTAAAAATCCATCAAGGTACTTCAATCCTGACATTAAACCATCAGCTTCCCCATGAAGACTGAATCTAAAATTCGACAAAAGGATACCAAAAGACACTGATATATAAACGTGTAACTTATATTTCAATACAATGGGAAACAGTAATTTAAAATTATATTATTCGTATCGATTTTCGTCTACAGTATGTACGAACTTAAAATAATGTTCATGCAAAAACACACCGGAAGAATTTAGTATAATTCACGAGATTAACTATTTCAAAAACTAGTTTTTATAACAGTAAATTCAGTGTCCTTAGAACTACAGTAATTTATGAGATAAAAGATTATCTTCCTGGCAAACGACAATCAATTTGACCTCCAGTGTAAAAAATACTCGATGTGTAAACAATAGAAAGGAAGTTATGGTAGCTAAGATAGTTTAACAGACAATCAGAAATCACAAAACCTTCATTTCACTAGTATGAAATGAACAGAACCTGACAAATCTCTTTAAGTGTAAATAAACATAATGATATAGAACTGGATCTAATTAAACAATTAGATCCAATAAAAATGAACAAGTACAGGTTATTATGTATAAACTAATGTATTTATGTATTACGTTTCATAATAATCCAGGATCAAAGTGAGTTTGAACAAAAATAAATTTAATTTCAGAACATATTATAAGCACTCATGATTGATTATTAACATAACTATTGGTCTCTCAAACAAGGGATTTCTACAAAACAGAAGACTTAAATGAAAAATGACTGTTCTGCAACTTATACATGAACTTACTTCAGTCTTTTATGTGAAGTAATATAACTCCAAATCGCCTTCATACGTTCAGTAATGTTTGAAAGAACATCACTTCGTTTGTCACTTTCTAGTCCGATTTCGCCGGCAATATGTTGCATGATTCTAGCTTGCTCAATTCCTGACCAGAGTTCATGAGTAAGCCGAGTTGACGAAAGACTGGCAGCTGCGCGACACATCGCGAATTCATGGGCTTACAAAAAATACATGTACTAGAATAATTGTAGCTATAAAAATGTCAATAAAATACTGATCATTGTAAAATATTGTCGGAGTTTTGATTTTCTAAACAACATTTCAAACTCGGTAAATTCTGTAGCTCTGCATACGGCGAAGAATAACACGAACGTAAGCAGAATTTGAACTGATATCATCACTTAAAAAATTGAAATACTCTTTTTTTTAAAAAGCTGTAGACAACTTTTTGGACAATTATGAGTGAGAACGAAGGAAACGGGAGTTAATTTAACCACGAAAACTTGTTAGATATATCTTTCGTTAACGCCGTATCAACATATTGTTAATCGTTGATCTATAACCTAAATTAAAGTGTTGATGTGATGTGGCAAATTGGACCGATACACCAGGTTTTATGTTGCTTCTGACTGACTGAATTCGAGAACATATGTAATCCATTTACTGAGAACTTACATGAAATTCTTATCATTAATCCTGAATAATCAAAGTCAATCACATTTAGTTATAGTGAATTTCCAATAAATAAGCAAAAACTACCTATAACTAGAAAATTACATGAAAATATTTATTTTCAGTAGTTTTTCGTCAGGTTTACAATTATAAATATTTGAGTTAGATCATATCAATCTTGAAGATTATTCGGAATAGAAAGATATTTTTCCCTTCTGTACATTTAACTGTTAATTGTTGAGACTGGATATTTATCGCCGAAATTGACTTTCTTGGTATTCATAAAACTTCTAAATGCTATGTCGGGATGTTCGCAATGAATCTGTAACTTTCCTAGAGTACATGTAATTGTGGTCACACTGAAGTAAAGCTTTGCATCGCAATACCTTATCGTTTTCATTATTGTTGCTAACAATAACAAAAACTCAAAGAAATAGTTTATAACCTAAATGGAGGAATTTATAACGCTATTATTTACCTGAATCTGAAATTGCATTAGCTGACCATTCACCTGCAGCTGACATTTGAATCAGAGTTGATAAACGCTCCTGATCGGACCAATCTGGAGAACGGAAAAGTTTCGACCAAAGTTCAAAGAAATTAGGTATTTTTGATTCAAGACAATAACTGGACAAATGAATTTGTCGAGATGCAGACGAAAATTCAGTTTTTGAACAAGACGGTATTTTAGGTGTAACAAAAGGAGAAGCATCGAAACCACCTGTATGTAGTTCGATTGCTTGGCTCATTTCTGAGTAAGACATTCCATCCGCTCCCAATCTAAAAAGCAGATTACGTACAGCAGGCTATACAGCTTTGGTAATACGACAATTTAGGGACAATCTCAATAAAAAGAAAAGCTGAGTAATTTAAAACACGTCAGGGTTTTAGTTGAAACTTCCAACTAGTGAGTTTTAGCTAAACAGATTTTTTAAATGTTTTACCGAAGTAAAGATTCATACACTGAAGCCCAAGAAAAAAAACTTGCATATATTGATATAATACTTTAGGCAACAAAATATACCTGGTAAACAACGAACAAAACAGTGGAACGTAAGATAATAGTTCACAAGGCAAATCCTTCAAATCAGCCAAAGCATGGAAATAAAATAAACCATTAGTTGCTGCTTCGTTCAACTGGACAGGAAAATCTGATGCTAAATATTACAAAAATAGACAGGAAATTTTATGAGGACAGGAAATACATTTTTCATACACAAACATCACATTAAATAACGAAATTTCATGCATTTTATTCGCTGACGAAATAATAGTAGGAGCAGTAAATGATTTAGATGAAACAGAGCAAACTCGTAGTTATAAATTCGGACTACTATAAACGGGAGTAGTGATTATATTATAAAAAGACTACACATTCAGAGCGAAATATTTGTAAAAATAGTAACTGAAAAGTCGGAAACAACATGAGTAAAATCCCGTTTTATCTTAGAGTGCTTCTGGGATTTAAGGGCTGCTCGACACATCTTGAATACCTACACTAAAAATAAATATTTATTTCCAAAAGACCTGAGTAAGAAAACTTGATTGGGACTGATGATTTTGTCAACGTACGCTCCTGTATATAAACCCCAGAGTTAGCTACATACTTTCCAAACATCATACTCAGAACCCAAAATACATGAGACAAAAAGAGATTGAATATTTTTAATACTGAGGTTGGTAATAAAAATCGCTGGAGATTTTCTTTACACCTTGAAAGTTATTTAGTACCCCAAACATTCCAGTAGAGTAAAGAGCATAACTTCATTTTCTAAAGTTAAATTGATGACGAGTAAACTGATTTATTATATCCGGCTATTTTCCTAACTTTAACCTCAGTACTTCTCGCAAAATTGTTTCACAGTACCCAAGTACTGCTCAAAAAATATCTTTGATAAGGAAACTGCAGCCTATTCATGTCTTCTACTTCCGTAGACCAAGATTCACACCAATAAAGTAATGCGGTGTGAACCCCTGCATAATTTATGTAGTATCTTGTTGGAAGATGGACATCTGTTCTGCGTCACAAGTGACGCAAGTTGGCAAAAGCCGAATAAGCCGATTTTGTTAAACACTAAGCAGTCATATGTAATAAGTAAGTCAGTCAGTAACAACGTAGAACTTGGTACGTACGTACATCAATTCGAGTTGCCACACTACACTAGCACAGAGATACACTTGTCGATTCAAATCCCATAGTGGTAGAGGTAGTAACAGTATAAGCAGTAATCGGAAAGATTAGGGTTTGAAGATGTTATTTAAAGAGTATAATCCAGTGAAATAAATTTGGGAAGAGAAAAAAAGAGACAAGAAGGAATCAGGAGATTAGAATTTGGGAGAACACAAAGAGTGGATGCACCTGCGCCATTGCAAACGATTCTGAACCTTGTCATTCAGGGTCTCTAACCATCAGTTGCTATCATCTCGCGGTCCCCAGCCAGGTAGTCTACATCTGCCAACGTGGCTCAGTCCACTTATCAGTGACTCCATGGATTTGTGCATGTTTTGGTCTGGCCACCCCTAGCTTTCTTCCAATTTACTTCTATACCATGAAACACCACACGTCGAGGAAGTCGGTCGTTGGGCATACGTAACACATGTCCGAGCCATCTCAACTGATCAAGTTTCACCACTTCATCAATCGGTTTGCCATCCTTACCTAGTACCCGTTTCCTAACAACTGCGTTACTTACTCGATGGTCCCAGGATATACGATCAATGTTTCGAAGACACCTATGATCAAATACCAGTAACCTACGAATATCCTCTACTCTTACCGACCACGTTTCACTGCCATAAAGTAGGACGGAACGGACTGCTGCGCAACAAACACGTCCTTTGGTTGGTAGACGGATATCTCGCCTATGCCATAAATGACGCAAGTTGGCAAAAGCTAGTCGAGCCTTCTGCATCCGTGCTGAGATCTCGTCACACACCAGACCACAGGGGCTGATGAGACTCCCAAGATAAGTGAAGCGGTCGACACGCCCAACTACTTCACTCCCTATCATTAGTTTGGGTGTCGATGCATTTCGAGGGGAGGGGAACTCGCATCCCGAACATGCTTGCATTGTTACTTATAGTGTTCAGAAGACTGGATTTTGTCAGCGTCTTCACCAAATAAAACTATGCCATCGGCATATTCTAGGTCAAAAAGTGAATCTCCCGGTAGAAGTTCAACACCTGGAAATTTAGCCGAGAAAAGTGTCATCTCTAAAAGCACGTCAACGACAAAGTCAAACAAGAATGGAGAGAGTCGGATACGTGATAAGACCACCAAGTTAACAGATCGATACAGTCAACCCATTCGCCCGTTGTAACCAACCAGTAGATTGAATTATATCAGCATCTTCGCCACACAGAACTATGTTATCTGCCACAAAATTGCAAGACAGCAACAATTTTATTTTCAAATTTCCTGGATATTGAATAGAATATAAATTGATTAATCACTTACTTTGAGTGAGTGTAAACGGTTCTGGTCTGCATTCCAAAGGTACGTCGAAAATGTCGAGGCACGGTAAACATGAAACATCTTCTTCTTGATTTTGTTTTTCAAGGAGTTGACGAGCTATTTTTCAAATAAAAATTATAAGTAGGATCAAAGTGTTATACAGATATCGAACTACTATACTAACACGAATTGATCGTTTAGTGCTTCCTGGTTTACAGTAGTGTTCTAAGGTCGATCTAAGATAATAAAACTACAAAATTCTATAATTTTTACAACCCCCTATTGTTAGTTTAAAATTATTGTCCACACCTATTCATGCACTCAATTTAAAGACACGTATCCAAATTCATATTTGTTGAATACAGGGTGCGATTGACACTACACAAGTAACCTTAGACTATATTTGTTACTCAGTTATACACAATGTTGAACCTATGATAAGTTGCATTTGTTTTGAAAAAGTTAAATAACTGTGTTTAAAAGTATCTATACCGGTAAAAATAAAGTTTGTTTACACGAACTAGTAAAAAAATAAGTAAGTAATAATCAATGAACCGATGGTTAATTTACTGTGTATACCACTAGACACAAATAGTATAGCGGTTTGTTGCTATTTAAATGATATGGGAACATTCGATCATACTACTAATAACGGCATAAAATTATACAGGTAGCACTTGTCAATGGGAAGGATTGGATCACAGGACAACAAATACCTCGATGAAAAGTACTAAGTTTAAACACATAGAGATGAATAAATAAAAAAGCAAGAGAAATCGACTAAAACTGAATTGAAAGACCTCCATGAAACAACACTTCAACAAAGATTTGAAGAAAGAACTTTCTGATAATTTCAAATGGACATTTTGAACCTTGATACCATAGTGCCTGAAGCACTGAGGTAATAATAATCAGAAAACTGAAAAACATGTCTTACCCTTCAGTGCTAATTTTTCCCTTTCTAACGGTGTTATGTTCTTTGTCAAACGATCCAAATGTTCTTCATCCTTCTTGGCTTCTATGGACTTCCAGTTTGGATCAGGACGCATTACAGTTGTCAGTTTGTGTTTGTTATCCTAGGTGTAGCATTAACACCCGATTACGATATATGCAAAAAATAATCACTAAAACAATATTGGTAAAAATTAAAAAGTCAACAACTTCCTTTATTCCGATCACCGAAAAAATATCGTTTGAAACACTTATGGATCACACGCATGATATTTATCTTTTTGTTAGACGACATTTCAAAATACAGGGTAACCAAATCATGGTACAAAATAATTCCACTTTTTGTGCCAAACAGTATCATGGTTGAAAAATCATGAGCTTTGAAACTTTTTCATCCTTTGGTGCTATCGTTAAAGATCGTTCAACCTACAATAAAAATAATAGGTCCGGCATCACACTACTACCCATTTCATCCACACATTACTTAAAATGACATTGGCTGCAAAACATATATCACCAGAAGTATTAGGTTTCCTCATATCGAGATAACATGACTAAAGATAACAATTAAAAATACAATAACGTAGGCAGTAAGAAATAATACACAGGAAAACATAAAGGAAACTTCCGAGCAAATGACCCTTGGGATTAGACAAATATCCCTACATCTACAGCTTTCCAGTGCAAAAAAAAACATCCAAGAGACCTTGGGTAAGATTTTCGCATGAGATTAAACTGGATGAAAGACGGTATGCATGAATACAGTAAACACATTACGCATACTAGAAAGAATTGTTGAACAAAACTTTGAAGTATAGCCGGATCTTTGGTCCATTCCTGTCGAAACCGATCCACATTAGCTCCAATTTTCAGGAACTCATTCAAATCAACGCCGTGATTAACAGCGTTGGATAGGTTTAGAATAAGATTTAAACCAAAACGAGCCGACTCATGACGAATTTCCAGTTCGTACTGATGAAGAGTAGCCTCAACTTCTTCCATTGGAAAGCCGTCCCTATACGAGTAAAAGATAATTTTTAATCATTAACACTTCGATAGGGTATGATAAATAATCGTTATTTAAATGTGTAAAGTAACCGTGCTAAACATCATAAGCTGATCTTGTCATCGAATTCAACGACTGCCTTGTATAATCTTTCCTGTTAAAAAGTTTTTCAGTCTTCTAGAATGATATCTCCCAAACCTATGAGTAGTTTGTTAGCGTTTTTTGATGGGCAATACTTATTTGGATGTTTGTGAAGACCCTTACAACCCAAACTGAAATTTTAAAAAATCCGGAATTGAAATTTAAGATTGTAACCCTACACATCGATTTCTAGTTTTCGAAGCAAAAACAGCCCTGTACACTAAAAATATTAATAAGAAGCAGAGCTTCACTGAAAGATTTTGAAAAAAAAACTTAAATTACATGTGCATGACAATTTCAATAAATGAAGATGCATAACATCTTTAATAAAAGATACAATCTAGATAAAAATACAGCAGAAAAACATTTCTCTCGGTCTACAGTGCCCATCTCACTCTCATGGAGAATGTAGGAGAAAGTGACAGGTTTTCATTTTTGCCTATGACAAGACACTGGATTGCACAATCTCTGGGAAACAAATTGAATGACAGATTGGAGACAGATATACAGATGCCACACCTATGTAGATTTCATCTATACTTCTGCCTTTTTAAATGAATTTATTTTATTCTCGACCTAATCCTGACTGCGATGAGATAATTGGTTATGTTTTAGTATCTATATCTTCCTACCTAAAACTGATCGATCGAATAATTTCATAATATCTGATAAGTTCTCCCTCTTCATTGAGAATGGTCAGCGGCAGGTTGTCTTGGTCGTATAGTGCTACTTCATTGAGTAGGTGAATAGTCAGCAATCAAGGGTCATAGAATCACTTCAAAGATAAGTGAAGTTGTCGACTTGTTGACGCAGACCAGTCCTGAAGAAACAACGCCGATAAGCATTTCTGTGTTCTAAAACCTGACGAATGGTAAATATGTGATCGATGCAGCCACGACCAGTTTTGAAACTAGCCCTAAAATGAATGTCCAAGATGAAAACCAAACACCAATTATGCACGTCAGTCTTGTGTATCTATTTTCACGGATTTTAGATATCTTTTTGAGATTACTTAAACATTATGATAGGCAAATATATGTGACTGTATTTGGAGAATAGTGATGGAGAGAACAGGGTAGTAGGTTTAAATGTCACATCTAGCATGTACATATTAGCTTAGTAATGGATGTTATCATAGCTATTTTTGTGCTGTGTATATGGTCAGGACAAGCGGTAGGTCAAAAACGTTAGTAAACAATTGTGACATAATTTACTACTCATGTATGCATTACTTTGGTCAAAATTCATCTTCCCAAATAACTACATACTTTATAGTACTGACAAAAAAGTAGACAGAAGTCAGATGAATAAATGAGTGGTTCATTTACAACAAACAAGTTTGTTTCTAAAATGACATAAAAATAAATGGAAAGTTCTAAACGGATGGTAAATCTTACCGAACGACTTCGGATAATATATCATTGATTATATGGGGAAATTTTTCCAGATCATTTGCACGAACACCTTGTACCCCGACATGAAAACTTGTAGTGCGAGTTCCACGATCGATTCCGCTGACACTGTCGATCCAGTCTAGACCATATCCTGACTCAATTAAACCACGATACAAAGGTGTATTATCACCATTTAGTAACAAATTACAAACTATTCCAAGCACAAAATTTTTGTAAACATCGCAAATACTGAAATAAAAGCAGAATAGGAATTAATTGTTATCAAACTAATGGAATATACGATTTAAAAACTGGGGAACGATTAGATGCTTAACCTTTCAGTTATTTCACACTACCCAGTTGGGGTTCATACAACTACTGGTTGAATAGGTTGTGTGAAACGGCTAAGGATCAATCCAAGAAGGGTAGATGCACTCACTTTCTTTTAGATTCCTAATTTCAAAATAGTTTCATGCTTTTCTTTTTATTCCACGAACCCATTATTTCCTCTCCAATCAGATCGTTTATATTTATTTTTTACTAATACTACTACTACTGTTATAACTATTGCTCCGTTATTTATCTTGATAAAGTTATATAACTGTGCGAATATGGTGTACCAATTTGGATCAATTCACATATGTATCTGGCCTCAAGTTGGAAATGACTAAATGACTGGTAAACATTCCCGTTAAATTATTATGCACATGTTTATATGCTAGTTCACGAAGCCTAACTAGCATTGTAGGTCATCCACATGAGAAAAATCGTTATTTTTGAAACCGTTAAAAAACCTGACATATGTTTTTCAATCTTATATGAATCAGGTTCGGAATTTGAATAAACTAAACACATTTTGTTCAATGTAAGCCTATTTCAAACTGAATTTTGAGTATATATTACGAAATGACTGTAATTACATAACTGATTGTAGTTTGTAAACCCCGGAAAAATATTTTTGTCAGCTCGTTTCAATCACACTAATAAAGCTAACAGCAAACTAGACAACTTCCTTGAGTATGTTAATTGAGCTTTTACTAACTGCATAACTAAAATAATAGATAATATTGCAGAATCTGAGTTACAGCGATTATTTGCTACCTAGTAGTTTTGGATGTAAATAAACTATTTTATTCACTCAGAGTAGTTACCTTTTTAAAGGAATTAAAATTCCAAACGATACTAAGACAGTACAAATATTAATGAGCATTTATATGCTTCATATGGGAGCAGTAACTCCACCTGGAGTCCCTCAGGGGGCTACTGCCGGTCCCAAGCCCGGATAAAGGAGGAGGGTGGGGCATGGGGTTAGCGTCCCCATCCCGTAGAAAACTAACTCGCTAAAAAAACGCTAACCAGAAAAAATTATTCAAACCTTTTAAACTTTGCCCCGGGAGTCAGAAGGTCTTCATTTAGAAGAACTATGACGCCTCATGATGAAAGCCGAATTCCTTCGGAAGTTACGAGGCCGATGTCCCTACTGACAAACAGAGCAACTATTTATTTAGATACATGGAATGTTCGTACAATGTGGGACACCGGGAGAGTTCCAAATTGTTGCAGAAATGAGGAGATACAACCTGAAGGTGCTTGGGATCAGTGAAACACATTGGACACAAGTTGGACAACAACGACCAACTACAGGAGAGCTCCTGTTATACTCCGGCCATGAAGAAGAAAATGCACCACATACACAAGGAGTTGCATTGATGCTGTCCAAACAAGCGCAAAATGCGCTTATAGGATGGGAATCTCATGGACCAAGGAACATCAAAGCCTCGCTCAAAACAAAGAAAGAGGGTATCTCAATGAACATCATCCAATGCTATGCGTCTACCAACGACTACAATGAAGACGCTAAAGATCAATTCTACAATAGGCTGCAGTCAATAGTCGAGAAGTGCCCAATAAAGGACCTGACCATTCTGATGGGAGATTTCAACCCCAAGGTTGGAACGGACAACACTGGATATGAAGACATCATGGGACGACACGGACTGGGAGAAATAAACTAAAATGGTGAGAGATTTGCAAATCTATGTGCCTTCAATAAGCTGGTCATAGGCGGCACTATATTCCCACATAAACGCATACACAAAACCACATGGACTTCACCGGATCACTCTACACAAAACCAAATCGACCATATTTGCATCAACAAAACGCTCAGGAGGACTATAGAGGACGTGAGAACCAAGAGAGGAGCTGATATAGCATCAGATCATCACTTGCTGGTCGCCAAGATGAAATTGAAACTCAAGAAACACTGGACAACGGGGCAGACAGTATCACAAAAGTTCAATACGGCCTTTCTCCAGGATACTAACAAACTCAACAAATTCAAGATAGACCTCAGCAACAAGTTCCAGGCCTTTCATGATCTACTCAATGGAGAAGGAACTACTGTGGAGAGCAACTGGAAGGGGATCAAAGAGGCAATCACTTCAACATGTCATGAGGTCCTGGGTCACAAGAAGCATCATCACTAGGAATGGATCACTGTTGATACACTGGATAAGATTCAAGAAAGGAGGAACAAGAAGGCAGCAATCAATACCAGTCGAACAAGAGCAGAAAAAGCCAAGGCACAAGCTGAATACACAGAAGTAAACAAACAAGTGAAGAGGAGCATCAGAACCGACAAACGTAAATATGTGGAACATTTAGCAACGACGGCGGAAAAGGCTGCAAGAGAAGGAAACATGAGACAATTGTATGGTACGACAAAGAAACTCTCTGGAAATCGCCACAAACCAGAACGACCAGTGAAAAGCAAGGAAGGCGAGGTAATCACCAACATTGAAGTGCAACAAAACAGGTGGGTAGAACACTTCAAAGAACTCTTGAATCGACCAGCTCCACTGAACCCACCCAACATCGAAGCAGCACCCATGGACCTCCCAATCAATGTTGGCCCACCAACAATTGAAGAAATCAGCATGGCCATCAGACAAACCAAGAGTGGCAAAGCAGCAGGACCGGACAACATCCCAGCAGAGGCACTAAAAGCAGACGTAGTGGCAACTGCACGGATACTCCACATTCTCTTCAATAAGATTTGGGATGAGGAACAAGTACCAACAGACTGGAAAGAAGGACTTCTGATCAAAATACCGAAGGCGATCTCAGCAAGTGTGATAACTACAGGGGCATCACTCTTCTCTCAATACCGGGAAAAGTCTTCAACAGGGTATTGTAAAACAGGATGAAGGACTGCGTAGACGCCCAACTTCGTGACCAACAGGCAGGATTCCGTAAGGATAGATCGTGTACAGACCAAATCGCAACTCTATGGATCATTGTGGAACAATCAATTGAATGGAATCCATCAATCTACATCAACTTCATAGACTACGAAAAGGCATTTGATAGTGTGGACAGAACAACACTATGGAAACTTCTTCTACACTACAGCGTGCCTCAAAAGATAGTCAATATCATACAGAACTCATATGATGGATTACACTGCAAAATCGTGCATGGAGGACAGTTGACAAAGTCGTTCGAAGTGAAGACCGGTGTTAGGCAAGGTTGCTTACTCTCACCCTTTCTCTTTCTCCTGGTGATCGACTGGATCATGAAGACGTCAACGTCTGAAGGGAAGCGCGAGATACAATGGACGTCTAAGATGCAGTTGGATGATCTAGACTTCGCAGATGATCTGGCCCTTCTATCCCAAACGCAAAAACAGATGCAGGAGAAGACGAACAGTGTGGCAGCAGCCTCAGCAGCAGTGGGTCTCAATATACACAAGGGAAAAGCAAGATTCTCCAATACAACACAGAATGCATCAATCCAATCACAATTGACGGAGAAGATTTGGAAGATGTAAAAACCTTTACGTATTTGGGCAGAATCATTGATGAACAGAGTGGATCTGATGCAGATGTGAAGGCGCCGATCGGCAAAGCAAGAGCAGCATATTTACAACTGAGGAACATCTGGAACTCAAAGCAACTGTCAACCAACATCAAGGTCAGGATTTTCAATACAAATGTCAAGACAGTTCTACTGCATGGGGCAGAAACCTGGAGAACTACGAAAGCCATCATCCAGAAAATACAGGTGTTTATTAACAATTGTCTACGCAAAATACTTCAGATCCGTTGGCCGGACACTATTAGCAACAACGTACTGTGGGAGAGAACAAGCCAGATCCCAGCGGAGGAAGAAATCAGGAAGAAGCGCTGGAAGTGGATAGGACACACATTGAGGAAAGCACCCAACTGCGTCACAAGACAAGCCCTCACATGGAATCCCGAAGGTCAAAGGAAAAGAGGAAGACCAAGGAACATATTACGCCGAGAAATGGAGATAGACATGAGAAAAATGAACAAGAATTGGATGGAACTAGAAAAGAAGGCCCAGGACAGAGTGGGTTGGAGAATGCTGGTCAGCGGCCTATGCTCCATTGGGAGTAACGGGCGTAAGTAAGTAAGTATATGCGAGCAGTGACAGGAGACAAACTCATTGATATTCTCAGTATGGTATATGGTTTTTTAGTGATTACTAGTAGACAGTTCTGAGCCTATGTTTCAAGTTTGGTCAGACTCATCAGCAAAGTCTATCTATCATTCACTGTAGATCACAGTCACTACTTAGGCTGCTACCAAAGTGAACGATTAGTTACAGATTTTTAGAGGTAATCGGGTTTTGTCGATCTTGTAATAGCTAGGTTAAATGACGTGACAATGTGTATACGTTCGAATTTGAAAAAAGAATTGGTAAATTGGTGAGTTTGTTAGCATATGTGAAAAGGTCATACATTTTAAAGAATTATCCACCTTAAAATAATAGTGTTTCAACTCACTGTTCATATTTTAATTCCATTAAACCTTGGGTGAACTAATAGAAACAAGACAAGAAGACTTGACGAAACTAGTTATCAATCACATTGAAGTGGAGAATAAATACCAATAATGTCATCTGAAAACCAAGTTAATCTACGTAATACATAAGTTAGAAACAAAGCTTTCAAATGTGAAAGTTCAAATGTTATGGTACTGAGTGTTCAATTAATATGAATGAAACCGTACTTATTTGAGGAATCCGGAAACATTCCATGTAGATACAAAGCTGAGAGGAAATATAACAACCGTCTCAATTAATATAAATCCTAATTCTGTTTTAATTTTACTTGGATTTTTAACTATCCGATAACTAATTTTTTAGCACCCAATGGACGATAGTGACTCATTCGATTCTGAATTACTGAAAGCTCTCTACTTCACTTATTATAAATTAGCTCATCTCCGGAGCTTCAGTTCATTGTTAGTCCAAGCACAAATAATGTAAACTTACTCATCCAAACGGAAGCTAAGAGATACACAGCATTCACGATCTGGGTGGGGATTCATTGGATCTGGTTCACATGTCAACTGAACTAATCTCTACAAAAGGTAATTTACAAGACCAAATGTATTAATTAGGTTATCGGATAAATCCATTGATCAAATCGATTAAATTATACAAACGCAATGTAAATAAAACTTAATTAGTAACCCGATCTCTGGAGGAAGCCGAAAAACAAGGAAGAACAAAGACTGACCTGAAATTCGCTGAAATATCCTAGAATAGTGCAGAAAATGGGAAATCACATATAATTAATTAAAATAAATAAGTAACTAAGTACACGTCCATGTATTCCGCTGAAAATCTTCTATGTGAACGTTACTGATGATAACCGGGAACTTGGACCAAAGTTGAAGCGTAGTTCAAACCTGCTTTCTATTAAATGAAAGTTGAGGGCTCTAATAGCTAAAGCATCGTTCTATGAAGTGAAACAAGCAAGAATAACATATACTAAGCCATACTGTTTGACCGATAATATAACCAAGGACTTATTCAGTCATTAAAAGAGATCTTATTGTTTATGACGGAGACATTTGGAAAAGACAGGAGTGTCGTCATCGGTTTAGTATTCGAAACTATCTCTGATTACTTCTACAGACTCTTAACTGTAAAATATTCAGATATCATACGTCTGTGGAACTGTTTTGATAGCATGAAAGCAGTGAGCATAACTATCTTATAAGAGGATATAATGCAGCCACGATATGAGAGAGTTTGGGGAAAATTAAGCTCAATTTTCTTCAACCTTTGTAGTAGTAAGGCACAATTTACAGTATGAATGTTGTCCATATACATTTCAAATAAAGAAAGCGATTAGTTTTCAGAAGAAATAAGATTAAAATACTCTGAATAAACATAGTCTTATTGATACGCTGTCAAAAAATTAGACCAAACAGTTCGGTCATAATCGATTGGAGAATGGGTGACCTAAAAGCTAAATTCCTATGTCAGTCGGTCAGTAACAACGTAGAACTTGGTACGTACGTACATCAATTCGAGTTGCCACACTACACTAGCACAGAGATACACTTGTCGATTCAAATCCCATAGTGGTAGAGGTAGTAACAGTATAAGCAGTAATCGGAAAGATTAGGGTTTGAAGATGTTATTTAAAGAGTATAATCCAGTGAAATAAATTTGGGAAGAGAAAAAAAGAGACAAGAAGGAATCAGGAGATTAGAATTTGGGAGAACACAAAGAGTGGATGCACCTGCGCCATTGCAAACGATTCTGAACCTTGTCATTCAGGGTCTCTAACCATCAGTTGCTATCATCTCGCGGTCCCCAGCCAGGTAGTCTACATCTGCCAACGTGGCTCAGTCCACTTATCAGTGACTCCATGGATTTGTGCATGTTTTGGTCTGGCCACCCCTAGCTTTCTTCCAATTTACTTCTATACCATGAAACACCACACGTCGAGGAAGTCGGTCGTTGGGCATACGTAACACATGTCCGAGCCATCTCAACTGATCAAGTTTCACCACTTCATCAATCGGTTTGCCATCCTTACCTAGTACCCGTTTCCTAACAACTGCGTTACTTACTCGATGGTCCCAGGATATACGATCAATGTTTCGAAGACACCTATGATCAAATACCAGTAACCTACGAATATCCTCTACTCTTACCGACCACGTTTCACTGCCATAAAGTAGGACGGAACGGACTGCTGCGCAACAAACACGTCCTTTGGTTGGTAGACGGATATCTCGCCTATGCCATAAATGACGCAAGTTGGCAAAAGCTAGTCGAGCCTTCTGCATCCGTGCTGAGATCTCGTCACACACCAGACCACAGGGGCTGATGAGACTCCCAAGATAAGTGAAGCGGTCGACACGCCCAACTACTTCACTCCCTATCATTAGTTTGGGTGTCGATGCATTTCGAGGGGAGGGGAACTCGCATCCCGAACATGCTTGCATTGTTACTTATAGTGTTCAGAAGACTGGATTTTGTCAGCGTCTTCACCAAATAAAACTATGCCATCGGCATATTCTAGGTCAAAAAGTGAATCTCCCGGTAGAAGTTCAACACCTGGAAATTTAGCCGAGAAAAGTGTCATCTCTAAAAGCACGTCAACGACAAAGTCAAACAAGAATGGAGAGAGTGGACAGCCCTGACGAACACCACTTGAGGTAATCAATTCTGATGACAGTTCACCATAAGCTCTCACTCGACCAGTTGTGTTCGAGTAGAGAGCCTTTACAAGATTAACGTACTTCTTTGGTACTCCTTTCAATGACAAACACTGCCATAGAACCTCACGATCAACCGAGTCGAATTCTGCCTTAAGGTCGAGAAACAATAAGATTGTGGGGCGTCTGGATGTGTGCCTGTGTTCTAGGATCTGACGTATTGTGAATATCTGGTCTATACAACCACGTCCAGGTCGAAAACCAGCCTGATTTTCTCTAGTCTGCTCTTCACGAGCTTTAGTTAGGCGTCGAAGTATTATTGAAGTGAATATTTTAGACACTATATTAGTCAAACTGATTCCTCTGTGATTGTCACAAGACGACCTTTGTCCTTACTTATAGACCGGCACAATCAGTGATTGAGACCAGTCAAATGGGATTACGTCCAGTTCTCAAATTCTACCTAAGAACTCAGTCAATTTCACTGCTAATACTGGACCACCATCTTTAAAAGTCTCAGGAGTAAACCTGTCAGATTTCCGATAGCTTTTTCAACTTCATAGAGTCGGAGGACCTACATTAACTTGCCATTCAGGTTGACTACCGATCGTGGGAAACCGAAGTTTGGCTGAAGGCCAGTTGAACTGATCAATAAAGTGTTCTGCCTATCGATCCAGTCTCCTGGATTGAGAATGTATAATATGTTCATCTTTCTCTGAGATTGTTTCGCTAACAGTCGGTTTCCTAATACCGGTTTCCTTAACGAGTCTGAACGATTGTCTGCTATTACCTATTGCCGCTGCCTTTTCCATCTCTCTTGCTTTCGCTACCCACCACTGTTCGCGATCATTGCGTAGGCTTCTTGTCAGCTTACGCTTAAGCTAACTCCGCTCTTCGTTATGTTCAGAGCCAGATAGAATGAGTTTTCGAGCACCTATCAGTGTGGTAGATGCTGCTGAGATCCAGTGTTGCTTCCTAACCTTATGGTTTACTGTACTAGCAGATATCACTGCTGTGTCCACAGCTTTTCGGATATCATTCCATGCTGCCTCGAGGTGGGCATCACATACATGGCTACCTAACTGTTTTCCTAGTTGTTCCTGAAATATACTCTTAGCTTAACTATCATTAAGTAGGGCCCTAAGAGGTTTACTTGCAGCGTCTTTCCTACGTCTAGTAAGATACAGACAGGTACGCGCTCGTACTAGAGCATGATCTGAATCTAAGCATGTGCTCCAGAATGAGCGAGTCTTCCATCGTGCACCTCCATCGGTGGCTGATAGCGATGTGATGTACTGAGGTCCAACGTTGTGACGAATTAGGGGGTCGCCATGTTAAAAGATGTTTTTCCTTATGCTTAAAGTTAGTATTTGCAAGGAACAGGCGGTTATCTGAGCATAGCTGCAACAGACGGTCGCCATTATCTGTTCTTTGAGCCACGATGCTATAAGATCCGCCCAGGTGTCTTTCCCTTTCGCTTAATTTGCCTACTTGAGCCTTAAAGTCACCAGCCACTATTACTACATCAGAGCGCCTAGGTTTTCGAAGGCCGGAACGCTTTCTGTAAAATTCATCTTTTACATCATCTGAGCTGCAGTCAGTAGGAGAATAGGCAGAGACGACGAATAGGCAACAACGTAGAACTTCCTATGATCACCTATGGCATTTTATTGTGATTATTTTGTGTCCATTATACGAAGATCTATTCATCTGGTTTGCAGTCTTGTCCTTTACTTTTAATTATTCGTGGGCCTAAATCAATTCCACAGTCTTTTGAGAAGCCATCACTCCTCCACAACATATCATTGCGTCTATCCATCGATTAACATCCTATTCATTGGTTTTGACAAGTGAAAATTTTGTAAAATCACATCAGAAAAAACCTCCTTCATAACTCTTCTATATTTCAGATCCCAATATTGGCAAAAGCTTAGCATTTTATATCAGATTCGTCAACATGAAAGTTTATAACAGACCAGTAAACGAGACCAAAAATTGAAGAAACTTACGGGTTCATCCCATATACATTCTAATGGTACTGAGTTGTCTTGACCTGAAAAATCGTAATGTTGGAGATACTCTGAATCAAGATAATCAAGACATTGTTCCAGGTTTACATTACCATAAGTATAGAAACTGAAAGTAGAAAGAACCACGTGTGAAGTATCGAAATTAGTTTTAGTTATTCTTCCGGGAAACACTTCAAGAGACTAACGAATACGGGACTCCAAATGAGAGAACTGGAGTGATAACGACGAATATGCGTTTCGTGTGAAGAATTACCAAACCAATAAATACACTAATCTGTGGTCGTTATTGTCCTTTTTTTCTTATACGCACCTTACCTTCTTTTTCTCTCCCCATTCTCATTGTTTTGTGTGGCGCATATATATATATATATATATATATATATATATATCTGGTGCCCCCTTGTACCAATATTTATGTGTTCAAATAAGTAAATAATAAATAATAACCTATTGGGTCATTAAGTACTAATTCGATCACCAAAATGCATATATCCTGACTAACAGTAAACATTATGAAGCGTGATAAGGTGACGACAGTTGTTTTGACGAGTACAACATATTCACAATCACAGTAGTACTGCAATTCGACTTTTTACTGCTTGTACAAATGCAAAAGGTAAAATCAAATATAATTAACACAAGGTTTGTTAGGTGGGGATCTTTAATATAAATAATATGAATCTACTCTGATTCAGCAAACAAACAAATACTCATGTACTAACTATTGCATAATCAAATTAAAAGCATGGACGTATAATTAGAGTAAATGGTTATTTTCCAGACATTATATAGTCAGTAATTCCACTATTCATGCACTTCAGCCCTGATAGTGGACACTTATTAGGCCAAGGAATATCAAAACCAGTGAGCTACTGAAATGACAATTATTACACAGCAAACGATAATCGGAAGTATTGACAGAATTAATTTACTGTCATATAGTACTTAATCCACTAGCTTAACTCGATGGCCGAGCATGCAGATCAAGGGGATCTAATCGAATTATATTGGCTGGAAAATTTTCTCCTGGAGGTCTAATTCGCTTGCGTCAGGTCCTAAGTTGATTATTATAAAAAAAGGTCAAAATAGATTTAACCTACAATTAGCACATCTCATCTACCCTCCATGAATTTTTGGTGTAAGTTATAAGGCCTGAAAACTAAGGACCTAGACAGCAAAAACTATCCATAAATAAACTCTTAACTCCCAAACTGCATAAAAAAGAATAACAGGATTCATAAGACAAGAAGCTAGAAACTCGTGCTTCTGGTATATACAGCGTCTTCAAAACCCACATACAAGATCGAGAAGAGAATGTTCACTTTATCTAATCCAGCCAATGTAGAAAGCCAACGCGACTCACCTTTCGTGTATCTAGAAACTCAACAACTTTTCTTGGTGTAAACTTACCACTAATTTCCAAAGCAAAAGAGACTTCTTAGATAGATTTCAGTCAACGACCTTTCTTGAGATTTTTACCTATATAAGAGTCAGGGAGGACAGGGATTCCCGAAGTCACCTCGTCATATTTTGCCAGAGCTCTCACTGATTGTAGCTCAAACTAATTAAACAGTGGGTTTTCCCGGTTGTGTTCAGAAGTAGCAATTACAGTAGATGATTTTAACACACAAGTCGGTGGATGGATGGTAACACCAACTGAATTATCATTATTGCAACCATTTCTAACGTGATATAGGCATAAGATGTAAGAAACCCTTCAAAGACAACAATATTTGTGCATGGTCGATGAATATCTTCAGTTAGCAGAAAACTACTTTTAACAAACTGTTGTGAATTCAATCTAATACAGACGGACCTAAATTACGATAGCACCACAGAGAGCAATAATTGGCATACAAGGCTCTGATTTACATTGCATATATTGACCTGACCAGCCACGCTACCAACAGCAGTTATCTAACAACCCAGATACATGAACTTTTCGACTATTTCTAGTGATTCTCCAAAAAGATTGAGTGTAGCCATAGGCTCCTGACAGTCTCTTAAAAGTACTTTAAATCCGAAAGGTGCAAATTACATCCCGACCTTGAAGACACTGAATGTTGGTTAACCAAATGTTATTTGCATAGCATGTCATCGTGCAGTAAGACGTCACCTGCATACTCGAATTCGAAAATCTTATTCCTGGGATACGCATCCACACCATCATCACGTACTTCCTTCGGAGCAGTTTCCAGAATATAGGTGGTGGAGTTGGAGAGAAATAAGGAGATTAAGAAACCGTCTTACTCTACACCGGTATTGCAACGATGAGGAAGAAGTAGTTGAATGGCTTCATTGTGACTTAGGTGTTTTTTAGTAGAGCTCTTTAATATATGAAAAGAAGTTTTAGATACAACTTTGTTCTACCGACACTTTCAAACCATAGTCCTGTCACACGACTTGAAGGGGCTCCTGACGTCATGAAATACAACGACTACTATCCTTTAGTAAGTGTGATGCTATAGCATTCAACGAAAAGTGAGTACATGATCATTACATCTCCGACCTGGATGGGAACTTATTTTTGAAGGTTACTATTGACTGGCGTATCATCAACCTCATACAATGTTAAAGTGACACCGGACATTTTTCTGCTAGTGACCCGGGAGTTACTACATGCAGCTGGTGCTTTCAACTCATTACCGTGCATTGATCACCAAGTCACTTGGTTCTCAGGCGTGCTTTAAGAAATTCTTCGAGTTACAGGTCTACATATAGCATCAAGCTCTCTATCCAGTAGAGTAGATCGGTGTGCTATAAGGGGTCGAATGGAGCTTATAGAAACTGTGATTATAAGCAAGACGTTTCGTAGAGCCGCAAGTGACCTTGCCATTATCAAGCAAATACAGCCAGTCCCCATATAAACTTTTCGGTTGACTGGTGGTAGCTCGAGTCTGATATCCCGACCGTTGTTGCTACCTTGACGTGGTGGTCGGGCTTGCCTATCGTGATGAAGCAACCGAGCTATACTGGCTGGAACAACCGTTCCTCAAGGTCCTACCATGTCAGACAGGTCGGTTGAAGAGCAGTAAGACTAAAAGCAACAAACCCAAGGTCCGAAGGCGAGGTCGTACTGCTGACTGTACAGAGGTGTGATAGCAGTAAGGTGTTTCCTTCAGACAACCAGCATGACACCGATGCTACCTTCCCACAAGGAGGGGTGGGGTTAGAAAAGGTCGACCCTAAAAATGCACACCTCGCCTTATCTCACAGATATCCGTCTCCGGCGGTAAGGTCTCAACAAGTACGAAGCTAACACAAAAATTACCCATAAAAAGGTCGTGTGTGACCGACCTTAAGCAGTTGTCCCTAGGGCACTGCGGTCACGCTCCTAGGTCACTAAGACCACATCTAATCCAACTTCCTCTTCAGGTACCTCCAGAAGAACGCTTCCACGGTGTGGGCAACCGGGAAGTGATAACCGCCCTCATACCTCTAACAGCACTCAAGACCACTGTATTCATAATCAACCTCCTTCTTCACTTCCTATTATTGCTCCTACATTGAATTTCACCTCTAAACTTTCTTTTTCGGCTTTCCCCTCAAGTGTCACCATAGCTAACGATTCTAGTGCTCAAAACACTGTCCCAGGTCTACTGAAACCTCGCTCCAAACTACACATTGGAGCCTTCAATGTACGCACCTTATGTCAAATCGGTCAACAGGCTTCCCTGGCTAGACCCCTAGAATCTCGTACAATTGATGTATGCTGTGTCTCTGAAACACGCATACACGATCCCAGTGTGGTCTTTCACTTGACCTCACCTCGGCAAAACGGAGAGTCAACGAGATACACCCTCCGTGTATCTGGTGACCCGACGACCAGCTCTCGTGGATTGGCAGGAGTAGGCATAGCACTAAGCATGAGGGCGGAACAAGCACTGTCAAAGTGGATCCCCGTTAACAATCGTTTATGTGCTGTTCGGCTAAACGGCTACGTAAGAACTCGGAAGGATAGGGACACACGTCGTTGTCGTTTTGTCGTTTCTGCCTACGTTCCCACCGACTGCAGCTCAGATGAAGTGAGAGATGAATTTTACAGAAAGCTATCTGAACTTCTTCAGAAAGCTAATCGTTCAGACACAGTACTCGTAGCAGGTGACTTTAATGCCCATGAAGGTAGTTTAAACCAAACAGAAAGACATTTAGGTGGGTATTTTAGTATACCGGCACAACGAACAGATAAGGGTGACCGTCTGATGCAACTGTGCTCAGACAATCGTTTGTTTTTAGCAAACAAAAATTTTAAGCATAAGGAGAGACATCGTCTAACATGGCGACCCCTTACACCAAACCAACGATGGACTCAAATAGACTATATTGCCACCAGTCATCGTTGGAAAGGGTCGGTAGAAGATTGTCGCTCATTCCGGAGTACCTGCTTGGACTCCGACCATGCCCTAATACGGGCACGCATCTGCTTGCGCCTCACTGGACGCAAAAAACCACATTAAAAAGACCCGTTAGAACTGAATTGAGTAGCGAGAAAACCAAAAGTAGGTTCCAGGAACAACTGAGGTCACACTTAGGTAGATGTTGCTTGGAAAGCTATACAAACAGCTGTGGAAACAGCAGTGACATCTATTAGTGACTTAAACCACAGAGTTGCAAGGAACCAGTGGATTTCTTCAAGGTCTATCACACTGATGGATTCTCGCAAACTCGTCCCATCAGGCTCTGAACACGATGAAGAGCGACAACAAATCAGATCTAGGTTAAGAAAAGTCTAAGAAACGACCGTGAGCAGTGGTGGGCAACGAAAGCAAAAGAGATGGAAAAGGCGGCGGCTATAAGGAAAACAAGACAGCTCTACAGACTAATAAAAGAAACTGGAATTAATAAGTCAAGTGTAAGTCAGACTATTTCGGAGAAAGACGACACCCTCATCTGCTCTCAGTCCAGACGTTTAGAACGATGGGCGGAACATTTTAGGGAACAGTTCAGCTGGCCTCCAGCTACTCTACAACTACCCTCCATTCCCAGACAAAGTGAATGGAAAATTGAAGTAGGTCGTGGCTGCATCGACCACATATTCACCATTCGTCAGGTTCTAGAACATAGGCATACTTATCGGCGTCCGACAATGGTGGTCTTTCTTGACTTAAGAGCAGCATTTGACTCGGTAGACCGCGAGATTCTGTGGCAGTGTCTGTCATTAAAAGGCGTACTTCAGAAGTACATAAACCTTGTGAGGGCTCTTTACTTGAACACTATCAGTCGAGTCAGAGCTTATGGCGAACTGACATCTGCTTTTGCAACCTCAAGTGGTGTCCGTCAGGGCTGTCCACTTTCTCCATTTTTGTTTAACTTCATCATAGACTTATTGATGGAAATAACATTCTCGTTTACTGAATTCTCGGGTATTGATCTCCTTCCAGGAGGTCCACTTATCGACTTAGAATACGCAGATGATATAGTCCTGTTTGGTGAAGACGCTGATAAAATGCAGAGTCTTTCGGTAGCACTAAGCAACAATGCCAGAATGTTTGGGATGCGCTTCTCTCCCTCTAAATGCAAGTTATTGCTTCAGGACTGGTCTGCGTTAACACCTGAACTAAAGATAGGGAGTGAAATAGTCGAACGCGTTGACAACTTCACTTATCTTGGATGTCTGATCAGCCCTAATGGGTTGGTGTCTGACGAAATCTCAGCACGGATTCAAAAAGCTCGCTTGGCTTTTGCCAACTTACGTCACCAATGGTGAAGGCGAGATATCCGTCTATCAATAAAAGGACGAGTATACTGCGCGGCAGTCCGTTCTGTCTTACTTTACCGCAGCGAAACATGGCCATTAAGAGTAGAAGACACTCGTAAGCTACTAGTATTTGACCACAGATGCCTTAGAATTATTACTGGCGTCTGCTGGGACCACCGGGTTAGTAATAGCGAGGTTAGACGCAGGGTATTAGGGAATGATGGTAAATCAGTTGATGCGGTTGTGAATCTTCGTCGACTGAGATGGTTGGGCCACGTGTTGCGTATGCCTGAACACCGATTACCACGACGTGCAATGCTAACCAGTGTTCGAAATGGTTGGAAGAAAGTTAGGGGCGGCCAAACCAAAACGTGGCATCAGTGCTTGAAGTCACGGACTTCTAGTCTGAGCCATGTTGGTAGATGCAGATTACTTGGTTAGGGTCCACGTGACTATCGTAACCAATGGTTGGAGACTCTTGGTGACATGGCTCAGAATCGATCACAATGGCGTCGGTGTATACACTCTGTCTTCCCTTAAACTAAGAGATTAAAATCGTTTCATATCTTCCTTTCTACGAACTAATTCTTTCTTCTTGTATTAGATCCTTATTGCAATCATTCTTTTATATATTACCACCTCTGAATTAACTACTTTTATGAATCCAGTGTCCATCTTGTTGTGTTAATGAGGTATGGCAACTTGGACCGATGCGTATATGTGCCTGGTCCTACGTTGTAGCTGCTTGACTGAGCCTGATATGGATACTTGGACGAAATACATGTTGCAGCCAATTCGCTTGCATCGATTCAATTACAACGATTGATTTGTTGACAATAGGAGCGCAAGATAATATTAGGGCAAATCAGAATCCAGATACATACTTTGAAAGCAGCGACAGTCTCGTAAACGGCCGTACCAGAGGTGGCTAGTCGCAATGTGATCAATCTGACCTCAGGGATGAGTCAAGCTGGGATACTGGCAACAATTGTGCGGGGAACTAGGTTGAACATAAACAGGTTGTGAATTGTGAAGAACAGCATGAGGCAATCGTTATTATCCAACTTGCGATTAATAAGTCTTTATTAGCCACCCAAACGACACAACTCTGTGCCTAGAAGCTCGATTTCAGCATTCAAGAACCCAGATAGCAGCACAGTATGTCAAACGCTTTATTGGTGTGATTTAATTGGTCGTAAAACTTATCCTCAGTTAAGTCTAGACTGCAATCCGTCGGTGAGTAAATAGGAATTACAATGACTTGCTGGTCGCGATACATAAACCCAAAAATGATACTGTGGCTAATAAAAGTGAGTGACACTACTTTGAACAAAATTTGAATGCTGATTCAACTGCTATAAAAACCTGCACAGTAATGAACCAACTATAAATTTGATACCTGGAATCATTTCTTAATTTTTTTATTTGAATATCAACCAGTGAAAAAAGTTAAGCAAAATAGTAACAACACGCAAACCGAAACCTCTCCCGCAAGAAAAAATACTGACACTGAACTACACTACTTATTGAACACTTACCATGAGTTGCTCGGATGGTAATACTTATTGTGAAACTCCTTCAAATACTCGTAGGTTAATGTTGGAATACGTTCTGGACTCCCTGCACTAACAAAACCGTAAGTTTGCGGAAACAACTTGTTTTTGACAGTTTGAGCAAAACGATTCAATGAGTTAGACTGAAAAGGAATTACATTTGTTATGCAACTGAAAACGAAAACGGGGAAATGAGTCGAATTTGTAAACTTCATTTATGAACTCGGCGAAACGAGGGTTTATTGTTCGAAATCTGAAGCTGCAACTAACGAATGATCAATGAGCTATGAACATAAATCTTTCGTTTGATTTTGTATATTCCACCTAGGTTAACCCTGTTTACGCGACGGTGGTAATAGAGAGCCAAATACGAATTAAGTTGGACGAATTTATTTCAGGCACTTGTTTGCTCAGACAGGCAGCATGATGAGAAGCGAAGCAGAGAAGGTAAACATGCCAACTTCAAATGTTACTCATCACAAGTATTAATGGGACTTAAGATAGATGAAGCGTAGTATGATAAAGAAATAAACAGTGAGAAAAATAATAAGTGTACAGACACATTTTTCGGCGAATTGGTTAGTTTTTTAATGGTAATCCCAAACTACGTGCGATCAACAGATGTATAAAGCCTATATGGGATTTGTGTTTCGGGAGAGATTTCAACAACTAAGTTAACAAAATGAATTGATGTAACTAAAACTAGTTCGAATCAATGAACTTGTTAAAGGGTCAGGCTGTGGTCAACAGGATGCTGGTTCAAGCCCTATTTTCCCAACCAACGTTTAAGAAGCTAAACAGTACTACATTTACTTAAAATATAATACCCAAGCATCTGTGAATGAGCCGGATTAACATCTTATTGAAAAAAGAATAAAATTCAAGTATCACATGAAGTTAATAATGCGTAGTGAGTTTAGAAGTTAACATAATATGTTGATAGGTTTTTTGAAACTGGTGTATACGGACAGAAGGAAAATCTGAGAAACTTACAAATACACCCTTCATTTCATTGAAGACTACGCCCTTCAAAACCAGATTAGATGTCATATCATTAAGGTTTTCTGGTTCTAAACGCCATCCTTCTTGCCTGAAAATCATAATTAAAAGTCACCTAAACCTACATAAAATCAAGCTCTTCGATTTTAGGTCGGAAAACAGCATCTAGATAGACCTTTAAAAGATTCTGGAAATCAGTATTATTCATCGTGCTGAATGGGTACATAGTCCAATCGCTGGCTAGAAAAAAATGATTTGCCATACGCATATAATTTACCAGTAAAAGCATTCATGAATGTAGCTTGACTTCTCTGGGTCATCTTCATGAACGGATCACGGCAAGGATACTTTTGGGATCCGCAAAGAACAGTATGTTCTAAAATATGGGAAACACCAGAATCGTCGTGAGGAACAGTCCTTAGTTGAACACTGACCTAGAATAAACTAAGTAACATTTGACCCAACCTGAATGTTTTGTTGGGATCATCTCGTGCCAAGTGCAAGTATTTTGCACCCGACTTCTGATGCTCAAGCTCAGCAGCTAGTAACCGAAACTCGGCCACTTCAAAGGACTAAAAGGATATTCATCACAATAAAAAACTTACTCTCTTTAATCTGAATCCATACAGAAGCTTATTTGCAGCAAGATTTTCGACTTTACCAATCATAACAGGTAGCCAGTTGATAGATTGTTATTTATTGCCAGTAACTAAGGCAATTGATCGTATGGTCGAAATTCCAATCTAATAAGCATAAAAAACGAAGGAAATAAGTATATCCCAGAGCCTGAGTAAGACTATTCATTGACTTACGTTCACATCTTAAGTCAGTTATGATTATCGTAGAGTATGGCACGTGGAGATTAGCTTAGTTCCCCATACCAAATCGGGATGTAAGATTGACGAGTCGAATAGCAAACGAATAAGAATAACTGTAATGACACTGGTAGTGAGAAAGATTAAACACTAGGAACTTGGTTCCCAAAGGAATGGAAGAATATTTATGAAGAGCTACTGAAACTTAAGATCTAGAGAAAAAAATAAGCGCATCTACACCATCTTAGTGGATCCTGAATCATATTGCCCAACAACCTGAGCCACTGAATGTGTTCATAACGCCAACCTTAACCAGGTAGTTCACACCTATCAGTTTAGCTTACACCAGCTACCAAAGACTTCACAAATAGATGCAATGTCTTGATTTGGTCGCTTCAAGCTTTCTTTTAACATATTCTTACTACAGTTAATATTGCACACAACTCAGCCACTTAGCTCTACTCACCTGGACTGAGTGTACAATGGTTCTGTACTTCCGGAATAATTTTACTGGTGACTGGTTTAACAAGACCTGCTTGTGTGAGTCAGGATGACTGTTTAGTTATTCATACCCGCTGTCCTATTTTTTGCTTTTATTGTCCACTAATGGTCACGGCTAATGCATGCACTTTATTCTAGGCATAAGTTGTGGTCTCTCTTCATGCTTCCTCGAGCCTGAAGAAATGAGTTTCCGAGCAATTAAAAATTCGCTTTGGATTTTTATAATCCACTGGTCTTTCCTAATCTGATTAAGACTGGAGGTAGACACTACAATATATAAAACTGGTGGGATATAATATCAACCTTCTTCAGAATAAAGTTTTTCCGTGAGTGGCTTAGAACAGCTAGTTTTTCTTTGCATGGATTTCCGGCTGTTATTTTCATGTATCTCAAACAAATAGTTTCTATTGGAGAGAAAGGTTTAATGATCATTAAGTTAACGTTTAGGCTGGAGTAATGCCAAGTATATTTATAAAACTGATTGAGAATCTAAAAAAACCCAACAGCGAACGCGGGGAGGCAGTGAATAATGAAAACTAGAACCGACATCGTAAACCAGAGACATGAGAACAGAAATCAAAAATAAAGTGTCAAAAACCTTAATCCAGTCCAAAAGTATGGTGCAAATGAACAGAAACTAGAGTAGATTTTGCGCGGTGAAAGAAAATAGAACAAAACTAATGAGAAATCGTAGCGTGATATATTTAGACAACAAACATCAACAGCCGAAAGTTGTCGGGCTTCGGGTCTGACCAGAAGGGACGGTGTTATAGGGGAGCATATAATAGCAGGAGAAGGCAGAGGTGATTCAACGACTAAGCAAAGCACAAAATACGCTTACACTTATTAAGGAAAGCAACAAAGTTCAGACATAACAAAAGCCTAAGATTATGATAATACGGAAATCGAAACAGATAATGTAACGCGCTTCACGTGTTATGTGCAAAACGACCGTCTGTCTTGAATCGCCGTTATGGTAAATCCACCGACAGAACGAGCGCAGATTCTATGCATGACAGGCTTCGGAAAAACCATAACAGCTCAATTAAAGTTATTAATATAACCATTCAACGAACAAATAACCTCAAATCAAACGCTATTCTCGTTTTACCGTGATAGGAGTCAAAATTTGCGCCTTAAAATACTCCCGATTGCCCCTCAAACTGTTGAATTTAGCGAACCACCAGTTCCATGAAATTTATGTAGGGATTGTGTTTGCAAAAGCCATCCTTCTTGGTTTGGCCCTTCATGAGCAATGGGAAAGACAAGGTTTTTGACCAGAGTTAAATGAGTGGTTTTGACGTAAACTAAGTAGAGTGTATTCTCCACTTACTGGCATTTTTCGCTCGTTTGATAGATGAATGCTGATGTCTGAAGCACATTTCCTTGTTGATTTTACCTTAGGCGTCTAGAGCACTTTGAAAATGTGTTTTATATTCCTGTCATGACAGAAATTCCAAATGGAGTACGCAAATACGGCATAAGTTCGGGACTGAATGAAGACATTGAACATTACTACGTAACCTTCATTAAACGATTGAAAAAAATATGGTAAACTTTTCAGCTGTACAAGCTTCAGATTTACTACCACTGTTATAGCATCAGTAACTTATTCAAACATGTTTTTGCGATAGTTGCGGTTGCCTGTAATACACCACCTGTGATGACTGTTCGTTATCTCACAGACACTGGTGCAGACATCTGCAGCATTTTCTCAAGTGTGATCAACCTCCAATAAAAACTCGCTTCCAACCAGCGAATAGTAAACTGAAAATGGACCCCTCACATGAATAGGGGTATATCACCCTCAAGTTCTGTTTATGCGAATCAAATACTTAGAATGGAAAATTCTGTATTCAAAATTACTCCAGTTACTCTCGACCAGAAAACAGAATAAACAACTACCCATGATACTAAATTTATTAGCGTTGATGACAAGCCGCATTAACTTAGATTTAACGGCACTGCTGAACAGCAAAGTCCGTAATTAATGTCAGTGGTGAATAGAATTAATAATTCTATTAGACACTTTTTGTAGCAACATATTACATAACCACGATATACATAGTCACAGAATACTATGTAGTACTACCAGATTAAACAAAAACGAATGTTTGAACCCTGTAGGATTCAACTTTGATACGAACGCGTGAAAAATAGTTCCAATCCGTTTACCGCAGGCACACGAATAATTAGAAAGTCCAGCCAGCCAACAATATCTATAAAACAGATGATAGCCCCTTAGGAAAGTCCTTAGACGAAGCGACGGTTCCTCGCCGATATCATATCTTCAATAACAAACCGCTCAATGTTCAAAAAGACTTAAGAACAAACCTAGAATTTGCTTTTGCTTAGATGCTAAATCGCAAGCAACTAAAACTGTGAGCAATTATAGACTACTCCCCGTGCAATCAGCTCACTCAGCTTCGAAGAAGGCATCTAAGCCTCAGTCTACTTGTGCCCAAGAATAAATTATAAAATCACGTAGATTCAAATCAGAACATCGAGCCCATGCTTCTCCATCAATCAACCTAGAAATGACCACAAACCTTAGGTATCTTGCTTTATTCAGTGTCAAGTGATATAACTCGATTCTGTTAACGGGGGTGAAAAACCACAACTTATCATGGTAACATGCATTAGGTAGGCTGAAAGATACCATGCAGAGCCAACCTATTGTTAGGGCTCTGGTCGCTAGTAATTTCTCTGTGAATGGCTTCTGAGAGTAACATCAGGCAGTATTATTTAAAAGTTGTCAACAGTACACAGATCCTATTTCATGCCAATAATGGTCATTCTCTTATACCTAGTTCTAATAAAACCTGCCCAATCTTTCCTCATGTTGACCTATGTTTTGTCGAGTTCGAACCCTCAAAATCAAGAGATTCTGAAGTATTTGGGCTCACTTAGGTTTGGTGGCTCAGACAGTAGCTGACTCTGAGTCCTGACGTTCTGAGCAGTGCACCATGCGGCTTGTTGAATCGCTGTTCCATTCGTTTGTTCTTGCAGATGTTGGCTCTAGGTTTTGGTTTCATTTGTTTCATAGATATTCCAATCTTTCTTCGAAAAATTGCTTCTGCTGAACTTTCTTGATCATTTGTTGCTGGGTTGGGCGTTGCTCGGTAGGTTTGTAATAATCTTTGAATAATCTTTTCTATTTCCCCTTCTCCCTCGGCTTTAAGCTGTGCTTTTTTAAACGTATTCACGAACCTCTCGACTAGACCGTTAGACTGCGGATGGTATGGGGGTGTCTTTATATGCTTAGCGGCGTTGGTGACGCAGAACTTCGAAAATTCAGCGGAGGTAAACTGTGGTCTGTTATCAGACACCAATACATCTGGATACACAAAGCAGCTGAATACTTGTCTCAGTTTTTCGATAGTAGCTTTTGTCGAAAGAGACTTCATGTAGTGGATCTCTGGCCATTTTGAGAAGGCATCAACAATCACCAAGTACTGTTTCCCGTTCATGGGACCGGCGAAATCCACATGCGCTCCTGACCACGGATTTGTCGGTGTTCCTCAACTATGCATCTCTATCTTGCGAAAGGCTTTGATAGCTTTTGCACACGCGGTACATATCTCGACATATTTTTCGATCTGGGCATCAATATTCGGCCAATATACATGCCCTGGGTGTGCAGCATGCAGTCCTGACACACCTTACGGCGTAAGTTTGTGGGTAGGACTACTCGATTTCCAAACATCAAACACCCATCCATGAGTGATGGAGGATTTCGACGGTGAGAATACTGTTCAATGTTTTTGTTGTTTATATGAGCGGGCCAACCATGTTCGAGGTATCTAATAATCTGCTTCAGCTCGCCGTCTTTTTGAGTATAGTGTTTAGTGTCTTCAGAGGATAACGGTGTTGCTTTTATGGCAACTTGTAGTATTTGGTGGATATCATTTTCCAACGATATCGTTGCGACAATAGAATCTTCGCTTTCCTGCTTCTGATTCGCAATTAGTCAGGATAAAGCATCAGCTTGTCCAAACTTTTCAGTTGATTTATATAGAATTTGGAAATTATAAGCAAGCAATGTAATAGCCCAGAGTTGTGATCGATTTGCTGTATATACAGTAATACCTGACTTCGACCCAAATATAGATAAAAGCGGCTTGTGGTCCGTTAAATGGGTAAATCGACGACCATAAATCATTTTATGTAATTTCTTTACTGGAAGGACTAAAGCTAGTCTTTCCTTATCAATCTGACTATATTTTCGCTCAGCTGCGTTAAGAGTTCGCGTTCAATACAGCCTTCCTCCGAGATACTGACAAACTCAATAAATTCAACCCGACCGAAGCTGCTACCGTGACGCGGTGGTCGGGCTTGCCCATCGTGATGACCTAACCGAGCTATATTGGCTAGAACATATGTTCCTGTAGGTTCTACCATGCCAGGCAGGTCGATTGGAGAACGGTAAGACTAAAAGCAGCAACTCAAGGTCTGAGGGCGAAGCCGAACTGCTGACTGTAGAGGGGTGTGACAGCAGTAAGGTGCTTCCCTCGAACAACCAGCATCTGTAGTGATGCCGCCTTCCCACAATGAGGAGTGGGGTTAGAAAAGGTCGACCCTAAAAAATGTCACACCTCACCTTACCTCACGGATTTCCGTTTCCGGCGGTGAGGCCCTCTTGAAGAACGGAGCTAACACGTCGAAAACCTCCCAAAAGGGCCGTGCGCGAACGGCCCCAAGCAGTTGTCCCTTGGGCTCTGCGGTCACGCTCCCAGGTCGTTAAGGCCAACATTAATCCAACTTCGTTTTCGGGTTCCTCAAGAAATACCCTTCCACGGTGTGAGCAGCCGGGAAGTGATATCAGCCCTCATACTCGTAACAGCACACGAGACCAAGTTGGTCACATTCAAACCCTTTCTACACCTCCTAATACCTCTCTTATCTCCATGACTAACCCTCCTCACGTCTCTTTATCACCTCGCTAAGGCAAATGATTCGAGTACGCGGGACGTTAATCCTGGTCTCCTGAAACCACACTCTAAACTACACGTAGGAGCTTTTAACGTACGAACACTATGCCAAATAGGACAACAGGCTTCCTTAGCTAGGACTTTAGAATCTCGCGCCATCGATGCGTGCTGCGTCTCCGAAACGCGCATATAGGATCCAAGTAGCGTCATTCACTTGACCTCACCATGCCAAAATAAAGAATCAACTCGATTCACACTTCGTGTACCTGGAAGCCGTAATGCTGCTTCTCGTGGCATCGCCGTCGTAGGTATAGCACTGAGTCCTAGGGCAGAACTAGCTCTCTTAGTCTGGATCTCAGTAGACAGCCGTTTGTGCGCTGTCCGACTAAACGGAACAGTAAGGACTTGAGAAGATAGGGACACACGTCGTTGCATCTTCGTCGTCTCTGCCTATTCTCCTACTGACTGCAGCTCAGATGATGTAAAAGATGAATTTTACAGAAAGCGTTCCGGCCTTCGAAAACCTAGGCGCTCTGATGTAGTAATAGTGGCTGGTGACTTTAAGGCTCAAGTAGGCAAATTAAGCGAAAGGGAAAGACACCTGGGCGGATCTTATAGCATCGTGGCTCAAAGAACAGATAATGGCGACCGTCTGTTGCAGCTATGCTCAGATAACCGCCTGTTCCCTGCAAATACTAACTTTAAGCATAAGGAAAAACATCTTTTAACATGGCGACCCCCTAATTCGTCACAACGTTGGACCTCAGTACATCACATCGCTATCAGCCACCGATGGAGGTGCACGATGGAAGACTCGCTCATTCTGGAGCACATGCTTAGATTCAGATCATGCTCTAGTACGAGCGCGTACCTGTCTGTATCTTACTAGACGTAGGAAAGACGCTGCAAGTAAACCTCTTAGGGCCCTACTTAATGATAGTTAAGCTAAGAGTATATTTCAGGAACAACTAGGAAAACAGTTAGGTAGCCATGTATGTGATGCCCACCTCGAGGCAGCATGGAATGATATCCGAAAAGCTGTGGACACAGCAGTGATATCTGCTAGTACAGTAAACCATAAGGTTAGGAAGCAACACTGGATCTCAGCAGCATCTACCACACTGATAGGTGCTCGAAAACTCATTCTATCTGGCTCTGAACATAACGAAGAGCGGAGTTAGCTTAAGCGTAAGCTGACAAGAAGCCTACGCAATGATCGCGAACAGTGGTGGGTAGCGAAAGCAAGAGAGATGGAAAAGGCAGCGGCAATAGGTAATAGCAGACAATCGTTCAGACTCGTTAAGGAAACCGGTATTAGGAAACCGACTGTTAGCGAAACAATCTCAGAGAAAGATGAACATATTATACATTCTCAATCCAGGAGACTGGATCGATAGGCAGAACACTTTATTGATCAGTTCAACTGGCCTTCAGCCAAACTTCGGTTTCCCACGATCGGTAGTCAACCTGAATGGCAAGTTAATGTAGGTCCTCCGACTCTATGAAGTTGAAAAAGCTATCGGAAATCTGACAGGTTTACTCCTGAGACTTTTAAAGATGGTGGTCCAGTATTAGCAGTGAAATTGACTGAGTTCTTA